CAGAGTCTGTGTCCTAAAATTCTAAGTCTTACTGTCATTCTCAGCTTCCCTGGTCTCCGTGGCCCCCTAGGCTCTCCATGGGCTCTTCCTATGTACACATCACGTTCCCACCCACACAACATGTGTCTGGCTACTCCCTGTGCTGTCTGGGGCTTCCTGCTTCGCTTTCAGGCTCTTTAAGACAAGTTTCTCAGCCAGGTGCAGTGGCTTACACCCATAATACCAGCACTTTGGGAGACTGAGGCGAGAGGACTGCCTGAGCCCAGGAGTTCGAGACCAGCCTGGGTAATATAGCAAGATCTCATCTCTACAACATATAAATAAAGGCAAGGCTCTCTCCCTCGTGTCACCTGAAATGCTTGCAACCACCCCAAGCTGGCTATTATTCTAGGCTCACAATTCCCCCTTAAGATAAACTTTCCCCACTGGCTGACTCCAGGAACTTGAAATCCAGTTTTCTTCTACAAAATTTAAATTGAACTACCAGGGTTTTTTTTTTTAAGATGCTGCCAAACTGGCCTGTGGAAACTAGTCCCTTTTAAAACTGCTTGAAATTCAGAGTTTTCTCCATATTGTTGTTTATTGCCTCAATCTATTTTCCAGCACAGGCATTTTTCTTACATGAATAAAAATTTCAAACACTTTAATGGAAACATTAAATTTGACTTCACTCAGTTCTCCCAACTGCCACAGGTCTTTTGTTGAACACACTGACAGAAGCACAATTTTTTTTTTTTGGTAAGCAACTTGTATACAGAAATCTATAAAATTAAAGGATTTCTTTTCCTCTTGGGTCAAGTGGCCAAGGGTGAAAGATGGTGAAATTCAGGAATCATTTGAGTGTCACCAGTTGTTGTCAGAAGGAAAAGAAACTGAGAACTCTGCAGTGAACGACTATGTGGGGTGTGAGAGCAGAGGTGTGTCAAAATATCATATGAGTGATGCGATTATATTACATTATAATTATATTATTTCATTCACTTTTGTTGTGCTTCTAGAAAATAAATATTCTCACTTTTTATCTAAGTAGTCTATCATTTTTCTTTTGTGACCATTAAAATTATATAATCCCAAAATATTCATAGAATCACCTTAATCCAATATTAAGTGAAAATTCATAGTTGCTGGAAGGAAAAATAAAACCTGGATCTCTTGTGAAAGTAGGGGCCAGGCACAGTGGCTCATGCCTGTAATCCCAGCACTTTGGGAGGCTGAGGCAAGAGGATTGCTAGAGCCCAGGAGTTGGAGATCAGCCTGGGCAACATAGCAAGACCTTGTCTCTATAAATAGTTTTAAAATGTATCTGGGTGTAGTGGCATGCACCTGTAGTCCTAACTACTCAGGAGGAAGGATCGCCTGAACCCAGGTACCTGAGGTTGTGGTGAGCTGTGTTAGTGCCACTACACTCCAGCCTGGGAAACAAGAGTGAGACTCCGACTCAAAAATGGAAGGAGGGGGGGAGGGAGGGAAGAAAGGAAGAAGGGAGGAAAGGGAAAGGAAAATACAAATGGTAGAAGAATTTCCTTAAAGAAAATTTTTGAAAGCAAGTAGCTATGTTTAGGCCCAAAAGAAGACTCCTAAGCCCCAGATGACATTGTGCATGCCACTGCAGGTAGACACTCAACTCTTCCAACGTCTGCTTCGAAAAGGGATGCTGTACTTGCTCTCTAGGACATACAGCAGTCACATGGCTTTTCCAAGAAATGAGGTTGGCAAATGAGGCTGCAAAGTCACAAGAACCAATGTTGTAACAAATGAAATGTGTCACATTTCCTTCACCTGAAATTATAAATTGTAAATTTGGTCAAGATCTGATTAGCTAAAAAAAACAAAAACAAAAAACTTTTAACTGGCTTTTGAAGTCCCACTTCAGACTTCAGTTTCAGAATTTCTGTATAGATTCTGCTCTTCCACCTCCTTCTCAGTCTATGTCTTCCTGCCTCCTGTGTTCTGTTCAGTTCCTACTTACCCTTGCTAAGGCCATGAGTTTATCAACTCTGGAGTTACATTTTCAGGTTAAAATTCCCTTGTACAGTGACTGACAATATTGCCAATGTGGAAATGTCTTGAGTACATATCCCTCGAGAACATTAGCCTATGGAACAATGCTCCCAAGAGGTGTCATGATCTTTCTTCAGTGTAGAAAACAAATCCTGGAATCACTATGGCAACATTAGTATTACTTGGGGTGCTGCTTTTCTCATGACCCATGTAAAGAAGTGGGTGCCTAGTTTTTTTTAAGCCATTAGTTTTAGAGCTGTAAGAGTGGTGAACATGTTTTCCTCTTCTTCTTTCTCTTACTTTGCCAGCTTAACATGATGGTTGAAGTAAACCTGTCCACTAAATCTTGATGTGAGGCAAGAATAAATGTGTGTGACTTTTACAACTGTCAGAATGTAATCCTGCTCAGAAAATGTAGTCTGGTTTTCCAGGTATAGTAGTGATTACAGATAGCCTTGAAAGATTGGTCCTCTTATTTCCTTTTAGAATCACTACTTCTATCAAATCTGATCTTCAGCCTGTCGTACTGGCAGCTAGACAAATGCATATAAATAAATGAGACTTCCATGGTCTCCTAGCAAAGACAGCGACACAGAAAAGTTACTCACCCAAACATTAGGGAGGAAAAAAACACATCTCCAATTTAGAGGACAAACTGCAAGTGTTAATAGCACTAAAAAAAAATCAGAATGCATGAAAGTGGTTAGACTGCCAGCAGACAGATGGCAATCATCCATTTTAAGGAAATTCTCAGGGATTCACTAACTGCCTGGAGAAAGATACAGGAAGATCGTGTCATAATTGGACCAGAATCTAGTTTGAAATAGAGCTGAGAGTACATCTAAATCAGATCTATGAATACCATCATATTTTGTGGCTTATGTTGGCAGATGCTATTTAATTGATTCTTTATCTGCAATAGTCATGCTTAGTAATGCTCAGTAAATTGTTCTGATGTTTGCTTTATGACTGAATGTTCATGTTATTTGTTGCCAGACGCTAAGCACATTGTCATGGGAAAAAGTCAGTCTTAATACAACTTGCTGTCAACTCCTGAGTGTAAGTCTCATTTTCCATCAGAAAAGAATGTATCATAGGCATTTTTGACCCCAAGGATCATGTCTTCTTCCCTGTTTGTAACTCTGCCCCTGGATAAAATGTGGTTCTCTCTCTGCAGGGGACACTTTATAAATGTCACTGACTCATTCATTGTCTGGCAGGTGACAACAGTGGTGAAACAATGAAAACAAAAAACAGGAGAAGGCAGTGGAGTGAGGATGAGAAGAGATGAAGTTTTGGAAGCTCCTACTCCTTGATTTGCTATAAATTTCATCTCACTGATCATAATGCCACTAAGAGTTGCAGAATGAGCTAGCCCAAACTGGCCTGACTGGCTAATAGTATAATTTTATTCTAAATTCCTCTAATTCAACACTGAGGCACATCTGAGTATTAGCTGAGAGTTAAATGTCTTAACACCCACTTAACCTCCTTGAAATGGAACCCCATGTCTACTAATTCATAGGGTGCAACTGACTGGACGCATTCTTGAGGTGTGGTCAGTAACACTAGATATAAAGCCAGAAAACATGCATTCAAGTCCCAACTTGCCCACTTAGATACTATACATACTTGGGTAAGTCATCATCTCACTCTGTCTCTGTTCTTTTTTTGCATAAATGGATCAGATTTTAATATCCTAGATTCTATCAAAGTGTTGTTGTGAGGATCAATGTGTGACCTTGTAAATATGGACACCCTACAAGCCATAAAATTCTCTGACATGTACAAGTTTATTGTTATGCTTTCTATATCCACACACCTACATGCATACTTACCTTGCATGGTGATAATAGCAAGTTCATAGGTGTCATCAAGCACATAAGGGAGGTGAACATTTACTGTGGCTGAGAGTCAGAGAGAAAGTCACTGGCAGGAGGGACTAGTCAAGCCACAGGAGCAGATGAGCTTGGCCACGAGATGTGTATGGAGACCCTACAGTTTCAGGAATGAACCCATGAAGTGTATCCATGAAGCAGAATGAATTAATTTTAGAATTTTAAATGTTTCTGATTTTTGCAAAATAGGGACTGAGAGAAGGAAGAAACAGGTGGTGTTAAACCCAAATTTCAGAATCCGAGAGACCAACAAAGAGCCAGCTCTGATGCAAACACACAAGGGTCTTTATTCAGGCTCGAGTCTGGGCTCATGCCCGAAGCAGCAGCTTCAGGGACGAGAGCCCCGATCCAGCATGGCAAGCAGTTTTTATACATCATTACAGAGGGAGGGGAAAGAACTTTAAACTTGTTTTTACATGATAGGTTAATTTCTCCTAATGGGTACGGGGGCACTTGGGATTGGTCTGGTCCGCTCAGCTACCTGTGATTGATGGGGGAGCTGCTAAATGAGCAGAGTGGAATGTCAGATAAGCTAGGTTTAGCAAGCAGGCAGGCTAAGCAAAGGAATGTCCGGGAGGGGTTTATTACTTGACATTCACATACTGCTAGCAGCAGTTGCGGAAGCAATCGGTTATTTTATGAGACAAACAAAAATTAAACTTAACAAAATTCTAAGTACAAACACTGCAAACAAATACAGTGAACGTGGGGTAGGAATTCATATAGTAATAGTTCTCTTAGAGTGTTGTTTTGTTTTTTTTTTTTAATCTCTTGGGTCTCTCAGTGGGTATGCGAAGGAAAAAAACCACCATGATGTGGAAGAGGAAGACAATAGTGTGCGGTGGACAGAAGTCAATAAGAAAAGAGAGAAGAAGGAGGCTGAGAAGAAGGAAGGAGAGAGAAGAACGTTCAGGAAAAGGCTCCAACAGCAAGACTTAGAGATATACATGTAGTAGATCAAAACTACAAATACATCAAGATGGTCTTAAGAGGCAAGCAAAAAGATTTCCCAAAAAAGAATTGAAACAAGTAAACTAAAAATAGATTTTGAAAGCATTGAAAAGACACAGAACGTGAAAAGGAAAGCAAACAGAAACACCCTTATATTTTCATGACTCTTTATAGGTTTCTAAACAGTAATATAACCAATCATCTATCTGGTATTATTAGAGTGAATTTTTTTATATCATTGTCATGATTTTACATAGTTGGACAACCACAGGGGACCGGGTGACTTGCTCAAGGTTACATGTCTAGTATGTGGCAGAATCACAACGCAAGTGACGCATTTCTTGGAGTTCACTCTAAGTCGTGCTGCTTGCCAACAGTGCACAGAAGACATCTGGAAAGAGAAGGAAAACAGCATTAAGGAGATAAAGCACCTTGCTTTATCCTCCACCTTTTTTTTTTTTTAGCACACTTAACTAAAACTCCTCACAACTAAAGGAAAATATGTGTTCTTTCCGTGACTAAACAAAATTGACATGAGGAGATAAATACCAAAGAAAAGGGAAAGGAAAAGTTGTTGGAAATATGTTTGTGTCTATAATCCTTATGCAGTTAAATTTATTTTGTGGTGAGGAAGAATATGAACTATTGGTAAAGCACATTAAATATGCTGAGAACCTGCCTGTACATAATAACTCCAAGTCATCTGCCAGGGCTCAAAGGAGATGTTGAATAATGATGTCACATCATGCCATGTACCCTTGTTGAAAATAAATCCTCATGTACAGTCCTAATCAGAGGAATGTCACATAAGGCTTTGACAAAACAGTATTAGCTCTCATAATTTGGACTCCATAAATTATAAGCCTGCAATACTTCAAAGGTAAATAAGTACTCATGGATTGAAGAAGAGTGGAAAATAATTTGCAATTTTTAGGGTTCTTGAGATATACATCATATGCCCATCTCTGATTTTTAATCAGTGTCGTGAATTTCTATAAAGGATGAGGACACAGTCTGCCTCATAAAAGGGGCATGTAGGTCAGAGGAACAGTGGCTCATACCTGGAATCTCAGCATTTTGGGAGGATAAGATGAGAGGATAGCTTGAGCTCAGGAATTCAAGATCAGCCTGGTCAACACAATGAGACTTCATCTCTACCAAAAAAATCAATAAAATTAGCTAGGTGTGGAGGCATGCACCTGTAGTCCCAGCTATTCAGGAGGTTGAAGCAGAAGGATCACCTGAGCCCAGGAGGTCGAGGTTGTAGTGAGTCATGATTGTACCACTGCACTCCAGCCTAGATGACAGAGTGAGACCCTGACTCAAAAAGGGAGTGGGGAGTAATTTTGTGTAGCACCAGGAGACTCAAACTTCTCATGGACAAAAAAATAAATGGTTGAATGTGTGCGTGATGGTTTTCTTTACGTTTCTGATATCAAAGCTATTCAAGGATTTTTTATTAGAACCATGAGCATATGAAACCCAATTAGAATGCCCTTAGGTCTTAAATTTTTTTATCTGGGAACAAGACTCAGTGGATCAATCTCTACATGCTAAGAGCTATAACCAATAATAAATGTTCTGATGTAAGAACTTAGCCTTGGCTTTATAAGACTAAAGAGAAACATATTGTTTGGATTTATGAGTACATTTTTTAAATACAGTCAAGAACTACTTTTGTGATCTTTCTTTATGCAAAGTACTATGCTGTGCCCTATAGGTGATTCAAAAAGTGAAAGATTCCATCTCTATTCTCAAAAAACACAGAAGCCTGTTAGAAAAGGCATTCAAGTGATAAAAGATTAGGATATAATACATGGTTTAAAGAAAAATGAAATAGGATGAGAAAAATTAAGATGATATCACTAAGTGCAATTAGTGTGCACTTATTTTTAATTAGTGTGCACTTGACTTTTTCCTTGCTAAGTTTTTTCTTTTCTCTCTCTCTCTCTCTCTCTCTCTCTCTCTCTCTCTCTCTCTCTCTCTCTCTCTCTCTCTGTCTCTCTTTCTCTCTCTCTCTCTCATGCAGTGGCACGATCACAGCTCACGGAAGTCTCATCTTCCTGGGCTTAGGCAATCCTTCTGCCTCAGCTTTTCTTGTAGCTGGAACTACAGGTGTGTGTCACCATGCTTGGGATTTGTTTTTGTTTTGTTTTTTTGGTAGAGATGAGATCTCATCATTGCCCAGGCTGGTCTCAAACTCCTGTGCTCAAGCAATTCTCCCACCTCAGCCTTCCAAAGTGCTGGGATTATGGGCATGAGCCACTGCACCTGGCAGATTTGTCCACTCTTAAGAGTGACTGCTGGGACTGTAAAATGCAGAGAGCATCTGGCACAGGGTCTTGTGTAGCAGACTCTCTGTAAATGGCAAGCATTGTTGTTACCACTGCTCTTTTATCCTAATATTGGTGATATCAACTCCTGTTCAATTATAAACCTCCCCAATAGAACCTAATTGTGAAGAACAACCTTTATATTCTTCATTTCTACTTTTTGGAGGCAAAGCAATTACTGAAGGAAAGAGAGGATTGGCCTTTACAAACACACAAAGTTCTATTTCAGTACTTTGAGCTACCATTTCATCTCAGATTGCTTCCCAGATATAATGTATATAATATATTAATATATATGTTATATATAATTATGTATGTTATATATAATTGTATATTAATATTATATATAGAGAGAGAGACAGAGCAAGATAGAGAGAGAGAGAGGTTTTTTTTGAGTCAGGGTCTCACTCTTTCACCCAGGCTAGAGTGCAGTGGCACAATCACGGCTCACCGCGGCCTCAACCTTCTGGGCTCAGGTGATCCTTCTGCCTCAGCCTCCTTTGTAGCTGGGGCAACAGGCATGTTTCACAATGCCAGGCAATTTTTATTTTATTTTTTGTAGAGACAATATCTTGCTATATTGCCTAGTCTGGTCTCCAACTCCTGGGCTCAAGCAGTCCTCTCACCATGGCCTCCCAAAGTGCTGGAATTATAGGCATGAGCCACCATGCCCAGCCAAAAGTTTCTTGTGAACTTCAAAACACTCTTCAAATGTGAGGTGTAGCTATTGCCATTATTACAGAAAATCAGACTGATGTATCCTGGTGGATGCAAAACAGAGTTCTAGTTCTTCTCTGTAAGAGCTACATGGATGGGGAACATTGCTTCACTTTGAAGACCTTTCATTTTCTTATATATATAAAATGTGGCTGACAACGCAGTCATAAGAATCAAGTAGCAAAATGTTTGCAAAGTATCTAGCATCATGCCTGTGTAAAGTAGGTTCTCTATTACATTTTTTTTCCCTCTTCTAGGCCGCAGGGATTTTTACTTATTGGCTTTCATTCTGATTGTCAATGTTTTAGCTTTCCGGGCTGTTTAGGATGCATATCATCCTCTCTAACTTTGGTTATTTTTAAATTAAAAGATGAGGGTTATATATTCTGTCTCCCTTTGGTGTTTGGGCCTCTTGATAACATAGGAGATAGAAGCCTTTGCCTATCTCGGTTGCCATATGGATAGAACTTGCTTCCTTGCTGTGTTCTTCTCTCTAAACATGGGATACTGAGAGCACACACGTGGATTTAAGTGGCACACTTGGTCTTAAGACATCAGGAGTGCCTGTGACAGTCTGGAAACTTCCACGGTGCTCCTTGAATGTGTATTTCACAAAATACCAAGAGCACAAATGAAGAAGACAAGAGCTTTAGATGGGACCCCTGAAATAAAACACCCAAAGACCCTCCTTGGTGGAATGTGTGTTGGAATGGTAAAGGGTAGGTACATTAAAAGGGGTCCGGAAAAGATACAGTGATATGGGAAAACATGCCTATCTATATAAATGCCAGGAACATCTGACTCAGTTGAATGTGTAACATGGTAGCTTTTCCTTTGATGCCATGAAGCATCATGGAGTCAAAACAGTCCCTGAGGCTCTGAAACCCAACCTGATCTCCATCTACCCCTATTATTCCACAATGCAGGGCAATCATGGCTCTGAAAGGTATCAGGGGAAGAAGAAAATTGAAAATTGATCGTTGATGTGTCAAGAATGTGTGTCTCCTAAGAGACAAAGACAGGCTGCTGTTCAACGTTCCGTCACTTCAACAGACACTGTTCATAGGTATACTGATGTGGATTCTGGAACATTGAGGATTTTGAAGGGCAATCAAAGACACTTGGGGAAGATCTGGCCCATCCCTAATTCCTATTTCCTAGATGCAGAAACCTGGTCTCAACTTAATTAGGAAACTTCATTCCTAATTACAAACCAAATCAACTCCTCCGCCAGAATGTCCAAGTGGTTCCTGAAAAAAATACATGCTTTGGAAGTATTGCATATATTATATGTACAATTATATGGGCAAGTGTACATTGTGAACATAGCTATACAATACCAAAAAACAAAATCTTATTTTGGGAACAAATACTCTGGGAATAATTTAGTTGAAGTATGAAAATTTCACCCAGTGTTTAATTTTGTACTTTGTAATCAGGCCTCACCCATTTCTCTCTTGGTAATTACTACTTTGTTTGTCTCTTATCATTACCAGAAAAAGTCCCTATTCTTTAATTGGATATTAAACACATAGTCACAGTCCATAGAATGCAGAAATGCTTTTCATAATGCTGGTCAGCTGGAGCTCTGGCATATTAATTTCTGGCACAGAATTTGAAGTTTGATTGAAACTGTAAAAAAGACATTTATATTTAGTTAAATTGAGGGACTTGTAGGACTGCAGACATTTGAAGTTTGCCTTCAGCAATGAGCATTCAGTTGCCTTTCCAAGGCAGGACACAGCTCCACACACTGCTGCAGGGACAGTCTATAGTCCTTCTCAACAACTCAGCTCCATAATGTGGATTTCTACACAAGCCAATAAGATGGGAGAGATGGAATGGAAGCAAAACTCATTTAAAAAAAAAAACTGGGGCATTTTGTGTAACGGCTATAGTAAACTTATTTCTAAAACCTGATTTGGATGTGGTCACAGTGTGCAAGCAAGGATGTGGATTTGTTCCCAGTGAAGTGGTAACAAGGAAATACCTACAGAGATGGCATTCATGTGAACTGAAAAGAAACTGAGCCATTCCCAATTACCAGGTAGCTCAGTGAACAGTGAAATTAAATGAAGCAAAACCAACCCCACAGAATTAATGAGGCAAAATGGATCATTTCACAACCCTAAAGTCTACTCACCACTTCCCCCTCTGGGCAGGGCTGTGGGAGGGGTTGCGCAAACAGAAATTTGCTTCAGGTTTATTCAAGACAGAAAGGAAGTGTCAGCAGAAAGCGTCCTCTGACAGTAGACAAGGGCCTCACAAGTCAATATTCCTGTGATGCTGAGGATGAACCGAAAGAGTGAGAGATGGGAAGCGTAGTCTAGTCTGCATTACTCCTTCTTCTACCCAGTGTGCCAGGAACTCTCACATCATTCACTATCTGGAAGATTTTTAATTCTAATTTTTGCACATCTCAAACTGTGGCTGGAGGCATTCTAATGAAAACGCAAAATCTGTCTGAGAGCTTGTCAAGTAACTTGAAGCTATGTGGCATGGAGCACATGTATCATGGGATGTTAATTGTGATTATTTAGGGACAAAATTTAAGGTTGCATGATATCAGCTTCTGAGAGCAAACACCTTATCTGTGTTATTCACTGCTGCGTCCCTGGATCTGGAAAACTTGGCAGACCCTCGGCTAAATATCTGTTGAATTAATAAGAATAAAACTATTAATGAACAAAAATAGGAAAAAACACTAGAATTTAATTACATAATATTAAACAGATTTCTTTACTGAGAGTTTTCTCAGAGCTTATTTCTTACTAAAGGTACACAGAAAATCTTTAAGAGGTAATCCTGTTGGCATGTCTCCCAAATATAATACATGAAACCTTTTCTCCCAGACCATCTGATGGGACTAGTGTTAAACAGAGCATGCCAAATTAACAGTATTTAAAACCCTGAGGACTGTTCTTCTCTAAACAAAATACACACACCATTTTTAACAGTATCTTACAGCCGTGATGATTAGCTCTAACATTATGTGTTTCTGAAATAACAGCCTAAAATTATTCTAATATGTACATAAGCAGTTTACTCTACTACTGTGTGTGTGTGTGTGTGTGTGTGTATAGACATATATATGGACAGAGAAATTCTGTAATGGGTTGTGTGTCACAACTGTAATAGACTATATATATATATGTATATATATATATACATATCCTATATAGTATTACATATATATACAAATAGATATATATATATATATATAGTGTGTGTGTGTATATGTATCCTGAGTCTCATTGTTTTGTCTTAACCAGTGAGAGCTAGCGTGGAGATTGTCAGTACTTATTCTACCACTGACGTTGCCCAATGTGCACTCTCTCCAAAGCTGTAATAGACTATATATATATTATTATAAATATATGTACAGTATGTATAGGTGTGTGCATGTAAATATATGCATGTGTTTACATACAGGATTGATATATAGTGCTTCTGAGTTGAGCATTGTTTGCAAACGTGTCACTTCTCTGGGATCTCTCATTCTGGTGATTATTTTGTTTAAATATATTTTGTTTAAATTATTCTGTTTAAAACTGTAAAAGAGACACATATTGAGTTAAACTGAGGAACTTGCAGGACTGCAGACATTTGAAGTTCTCCTTCAGCAGTGAGTATTCACTGCCTTTCTGAGACAGGATGCAGCAACACACACTGCTGGAGAGACCATCTATAGCCCATCTTTACAACTCAAAGTCATAACTGTTATCTGGCTCACAGTTTTGACCTGTATTGGCTAATAGGAGAAGTACAGGCAATAGCCTCGTAACTGCCACCAAAAAAAAAAACAGAGGAAAGGAATCATGCTGGTTGTTCAAAGACATGTTTTGACTGGGCCTCAAGGAGCTTTCAAGGACCTAGTGAAGAGAAATAATGAAAAGGTAAGGTTCAGCAAGCAGTTAAGAATTGGAAAGTCTTTGGAAAGAGTCTGAACCCCACTCAGCCTGATAGTAATTGGAGAAAGAGTTTACATTACAATGGTCATGGCATACCTTAATAGGAATTGAGCCATAGCTGTATAATCTGGAACTCTGAAGTCCAGTATTGTGATTTTAGCATGTACAGAGACATGGGGTAATCTTGATTTTATAAATTATGTATCCCTGTGAGATGAGAAATTACCAGTGCTCCTTACCCCAAAGAGGGTAACCTTGGATAAGAGAGTGGCATTGTTGCCACTGGTCAGAGACCAGAATATTGTCAGTGCTTTCAGAGTCTATAAAAATGTACAAAGGACCAGAGTTGGCCAGGCCATCTTCTGCCACTAAGATGACGGCCCAAAGTTCACCCAGTTGTGCTACACTGTTCTGGGCCAGAAGTGCTCCGGTCAGGGGAAGATAGTAGCAGTTGTCCAGCAGGATCCACTCTGCGTGGTGGTAGTGCTACCAGAATCAGTCAGATGTCAAGGCCGATGACACCACACACATGCGCCAAGATCATATGGGAAAATGGGTCACTTATACAAGACATAGAGCAAGGCCAGCTCCCATGTGAATCCAGAATGACTTGAGTGAAGAGAGGGGCAAGTGGCTTTAGATTTTATTGTGGTTGGTATGGGGGCAGGGTGAGTGTTGCCTGTCATCACTGATTACTCAGTTAGTTCATTCATATCTTAAAGATACCAGATTCATGGAAAATTTGAAGCTCCGTTGGCATTTAATGAAGTCCCCAAACAAAGATAACAACTTTTAATTAAAAAGTGGAACAAGAAGACAGTGGAAGACACAAATGAAAGGTGCTATCACCCAGCAGGCTCTGCACACTTCTTTGAATAATCAGTTCAAATGTCTAGTTGTTACTGGAAAAAAAATTGTAAGATTCCAGTGTCTCAAGCAAGATACCTGAGCTACTGATGCACTGACTCGGGACTGAATCACTTTTTCCACCGCATGACCCACAACTCCATAATACGCTAATCATGGGCATATAACATCCTGGTGGACTACTTCAAGCCTGAGACACAACCAGAGACTCAACCACAGACATTTCTATACAGAGAGCACTGCCCTGGGCTGTTGACTGGATGAGAGCAACAGGAAGTAGTCAGGTGAATGGGAAGTGGAGTCGAATCCAAGGAAAATCATTCCTTCCCAATCATGCAAAACCACAGCTATTAGAGTGTCACATTGTGAGTGAAAACTCAGGCCTACTAAGTCAAAGATGGGCAGGAAAGAAATTAGAAATTAGTCTTTCAGCAATACTGCCCTTGTAATATGGTTCCCTGCTCTCTTTTAAAACGCCAAAGTTAATATTTTGAGGAATCTTCATGCCGTTTCCCATAACAGTTGTATAAATTTACATTCCCACTGACAGTGTACAAGGGTTGCCTTTTCTCCACATCCTTGCCAGTACTTATCTCCTGTCTTTTTTTTATAAGAGCCATCCTCACAGGTGTGTGGGAATCTCTCATAGTGGTTTTAATTTGCATTTCCCTGATAATTAATGATATTGAGCATTTTTTCATAGACTTGTTGGCTATTTGCATGCCTTCTTTTGAGCAATCCCACTACTGGGCATGTATCTGAACAAAATGGAATTAGTATGTAAAAGAGCTATCTGCATCCCTTTGTTCATTTCAACATTGTTCATAACAGCCAAGATATAGAATCAGCTAAGTGTCTATCAACAGATGAATGGATAAAGAAAATGCGGTATACGTCCACAATGGAACAGTAGTCAGTCTTAAAAAAAGAAGGAAATTGTGTCATTTGCAACAACACGGATTGGATGAATCAGGAGGACATTATGTTAAGTGAAATAAGCCGGACACTGAAAGAAAAATACCACACGTGTAATACCACAAGTGGAATCTGACAAGGTTGAGCTCATAGAAACAGAGAATAGAATGGTGATTACTCTGGGTTGGTTAGTGGGGAAGAAAGGATGGGAAGATGTTGGTCAAAAGATGTAATTACAACGAGATAGGAAAGATAAGATAAAGAGATCTACTGTACAGCATGGTGACTATAGTTAATGGTGACATAGTGTATTCTCAAAAAATGAGACTATAACGGATATTACACATTCTTACCACAAAATAACTATGTGTGGTAGTGCATTTATTAATTAAATAGATTTAACTATTCTAAATGTATATATATACTTCAAAACATCATGTTGCATGCAATAAATATATTCAATTATACCTGACCTTTGGGGGTGTGTGTGTGTGTGTGTGTGTGTGTCTGTGTGTGTGTGTGTGTGTGTATCTATCTATATGAAAACACCTCATAACTACTTAACTGGAGGCTTAATCTTTATCTCTTTCTTAAGATTAAGAGATAAAGAGCAATAGACCTGAAACAATATTTATGTTTTATACAAAATGATACATAAACATAAAACAGAATAATGGCATTATTAGTATTAAAGTCTTCAATAAAATCACATCTTGATAAAATTTAGAGACAATAAACATGCCAATATTATTGTATGCCACTTTGCACTCACAAATAGTTCAACCCAGTCAACACCTTAAAGAAGCCACACCCACTTCTGCAGTGCAAACCAGGAAGCAAGCTGAATGAACCTTTCTCTTGGTCTTAGTTCTTAACCACTTTGTTTAACCCCTTCCTGTGCTTCATTTCATCTAAGTCCAAAGGCTAAGGACAAAAACAAAAGCAAAAAAAAAAAAAAGCCCAGGTTAGGGGTTAGTTAGATCCACAAACATTTTGTTGGTCACACAGCCCTGCCTGGCACTGAGAAGGGAGTATGTGATTCAAGAGATGAAGTAAGATTGCTAAAATTCTACCCTAAAAGACAACTGTACAAATAACACAAGACAGAATTTTCACAGCCTCACATGTGTTGGGAAGGTGAGCAGAGCTGTAGGAACACAGAGAAGAGAGAAAAAACGCAGCCATGATTGGAATGGAGATGTGTGTGACCTTGCAGAAAATGAGATGCCGATGATAGAAAGGAAGAAGACAGAAGCCACAACTTTGGAAAAGGAACAGAAGCAGCAATGATCTCAAGGCAGACAGAAGAGAGAACACGCATGTGGCTAGGTGAGGAAAAAAGACTTACCTGAAGGGAAGGAAAGATAAATAGCTGGGTAGAGGCAGATGAGAACTCTGGGTGTCTCATAGATGAGAAAGTGTGGAATCTTGGGCATGAGAGTTTCGGGATGGAAGAAAGCTCTAAAAACATCATCCTGGAAGCCAGCCATATTAAAATTATTCTTAACCGCTCAAAGGATTAAATGGGTCCCTTTCAGCTTAGGAGATCCTGAAAGCTAAGAAAAGGTTTATTGAGTTACTGGCTGTGGCAGAATAGGAGTCACTTATGCCTCAATATGCTCCTTCCTTATTAACTTTTCACTAGAATTATTTCCTAAGGAGTAAGCAGAAACCAGAAATGGAAAACAAGTGGATGACTCATTCCTTTACCACCTTTAGCCAATCATCTGAGGCCATGACCGGACTCCCCCTCCTATTTTGCAGTTTTAACATGACAATTTACCAGTTCCACAATATATTTCTTCCTGAAAAGTGATCACCCTCTTCAGACCAATTTTGGCCAGCTTGCAGAGGATGCACAGTAAGGGTTTTCGTGTCCTCTGCTTCACCTTCTGATGCCAGAGGGTTGAAAACTCCACCCTTTGCATCATGCTAACACCATTGTTTGTGAACATGGAACCCATGAAGAGTCATATGCATGTTTTTCCTTTCATAAAATTCAAGACTCCTCCTATAGCTGGTTAAATATTTATACTTAGCCAACCCATTCAACATAAATTCCTGTCTTATCCTTCCCTCTCGAGTACTTTCAGCTTCTGCCAGAGGCTATACTTCCCAGCCTGCAGGATGACCAGCCTTCCGGCTGCAACCCTTTATGAAAATAAAGCTCCCCTTTCCCCATTTATAAAAGCTCATGATTCTTCAGTTGACACATAACTAGGCTCTCTCAAGTAAGAGAGGTGTTGAGACTGCTCAGGCATTAAGAAAGAAAAAGTAGAGAGTGGTCTTCCTAACACTTTTTGGATATAACCAGATATTGTTCCCCAAGGCAGGTACTTGGGATAAAAAGACCAGTCAGGAATATTCAAATATCAATAGTGTCCTTAGTGAAAGTTTTGTTATACTCCTGACACTTCCATTTAACAGGAAGTTTAACAGGAAACAAAAAGACCATTCCTAAGCTCTAAGGAAGAACCAAGAAAATGACTGTGTTGCAAGTGAAAATCTTGGAGCAAAAGAAACACTTAAAAGAAGTCTGTCCTTGAACAATTATCATAATACTATAAGAAAAGGATTGATAATGGCAGGAAACTGCCAGGAGTTGGGAGGGAGCAGGATTGGCAGTAGTGGGAATCTGCCTGGGGAAAGGGGACACCTCATCAACAAGTTTACCTGCATAATGAACACTTGTATACCTAACCCTGAATTGTACCCCACATCTTTAAAATAAAAAAAAAAAAGGAAACAAAAATTAGATGGAAAAAAAAAAAGAAAAGTCTGTGAATCTGTTGTGTCCCTTTGCTGGAGGCTGCTCTGCACATGGAAATGACCTTATCAAGCGATGCTGCTGGGCCTGGAAGTGGCTCTGGCCTATCTGCTCCACTGCCTACGTTTCCAGACCACTAGATCCCACCTGCTCAGAGACCTGCTGCTTATCCACTCTCCCCCTCCAACAGTAGCTTCTCCATTAGCAACTGAATATGCTCACATCCCTCCCTTCTTAAACAAAACAAGACAAAAAAATCCTTCCACAACCATGAGGGATGAAATAGCCACACAAATCTGTAAAGATATATATTGACAAGTTATTCTTTTAAATGTAAAGTTCACTGTTTAGAATATTAAAACTTCAGTGTTAGTGATCTGTTCCCAGATTCAAGATAATTCTGAATAATGTGGTCCTAGATGACTTCTAAAGAAACAGGATCAGTAAGCAGAACACTTTAAAAACTAAAAACTACTATTACTTCTAATACATTACTAAATTACTGTGTGTATTCATGATATCATCATCACTGTAGAAAGAACTTACAGTCTTCTTTACTGTAATTTTATTTTATTTTTACATTATAAATAGTGTTAGAAAATGCAAGGCCATAAAAATGCAAATTACTAATAAATAAAACTAAGTACATGCAAATTAGAATGAGATAGTACTTTTTTCCCCATCAGAATGTGATGAAAAATACATTTCTATACAGAGCCTGTAGAAGCCTGCTTGGTAAAACCATTTTGAAAATAATTAGGCAACTTGTATCAAGAGGCTTGAAAATATTAATTTCCTTGAAAAACCATTAATACTACTTTTTAAGGAAACTTTCCTTAAAAATAAAAAATGTATTATTTATAAAAGGAAAGATTAAAATATATAAATAATTAAAATGCTAAACATACCAAGTGTTTAAGCAAATTATAGGACATCTTACATCATAGGCAATTATTCTGTTAAAACTTGTCTTACAGAATATTTAAATATTTGCAAAATACAGAACATACAGTGTGCTACCAACTGTATATATACATGGATGAAATATGTCAAGAGTGAGTCGAAGGAAATATGGTAAAATGTTTTAAGCTGTTTACAGGTGGTGAGATTTTAAGTAAAATTTCTTTCTTTATATTAATCTTTATTTCCTCAATTGCGCAAAAAGAGCACAAGTTATCTTAATATGCAGAGAAGAATTAATTTCTAAAAACCCTCCTTTAATTGCTGTTTTTCCTTTCTTTCACATAACTTGCTAAAGATTGTCTTACATAATTGAAAATGTTGTTATCCAAGTGGAGTCACAGATTTAGCAAATAAAAATACAGAATGCCTAGTTAAGTTTTAATTTCAAATGAATTTATTTTCAGTGTATGTCCCATGCAACATTTGAGACATACTTATACTCAACACACACACACACACACACACACACACACACACACACGTTGCTTATATGAAATTCAAATTTAACTAGGCATCCTGCCCTTTATCTGGCAACTCTCCAGAGCCCCCATCCTGCCAAATGCAAAACATTCTGTGGGTCCTCACCCCTTGGGACCCCCTCACACACAGCAGTGAGCCTTCATGTTGAAGCAACCACTGGCCTTCACGATGCCTTCCCTACTGGCTTTCCTTCCATCTTTCTGGCCTTGCTCCATCACCTCACAGGTGTTCTTCCTCCACTCCCTCCTCAGGTTCTTCGGAACTCTGTCCTCAATCCCCTCCTCTTCTTCAACCTGCATTCTCTCTTGGGAGTGCATTTTCAGCTGAGAACCACACTTTAATGACTTTAACTTTCTGTAGGTTCTATCGACTCCCAAGTTCAAATCTGCAGCCTCAATCTCCCTAAAGTGAGGCATTTACTAGGAGACGGAGAAAAGGGGAGGAATTTGTGAGGAATCAGAGGGAAGCACTGATAGAACGTGACGTACAGTTAGACGTGAGGATTGAGGGGGCAGATGCGGTTTAGAGGAGGTTTGGACTTGGCACATGATAGGTTGTGTTGCCATGTACTAAACAGGGCATGGCCGGGGGGAGGGGAAGATGAGCTTGGCTGTAGTCTTAGTGAGTTCAAGATGCATGGCAATCATCCCCGTGAAGATGAATAGTTGCATGTGAGTTCCCTGCCTGCCCTGGGCTCTTACTCTGCCTCCTCTTTCCACCATCTTCACCACCCCTTCCATCACCATCACCAGCTCCTTAAATTGCACTCATACTTCAAGACTCGGGACAAATGGTGCCTTCTCTGGGAAGTCTCCCTTGACCCTTTCCCAATCTCTGATGATTTTTTTTTTTTTTTTGAGTTGGAGTCTCACTCTGTTGCCTAGACTGGAGTGCAGTGGCCGCCCCTGGCCACCGCAGCCTCGACCTGCAGGGCTCCGGCGATCCTTCCGCCTCAGCCTTCCAAGTAGCCGGAATGACAGGCATGTGCTACCACACCCGACTGATTTTTTGATTTATTGTAGAGATGAGGTCTCGCTGCCCAAGCGGGTCTCAAACCCGCGGGCTCAGGCAATCCACTCACCTCAGCCTCCCAAAGGTGCAGGATTACAGGTGAGCCACTGAGCCCGGCTGATGATTTTTTTTTTAATCAATATTTTTTATTATGATATATGGTCCTATCTCACCACCTGTAAACAACTTAAAACATTTAATATATTTCCTTCAACTCACTCTTGACATATTTCATCCATGTATATATACAGTTGGTAGCACACTGTATGTTCTGTATTTTACAAATATTTAAATACTCTGTAAGACAAGTTTTAACAAGGGTTAGGTATATAAATATGCTTTGTTCAGGCACCCTTGTTGATAAGATGTGTCTCCCCGTCCCCAGACAGATATTTACTACCGTTAATCCAATCTCCTCGCCCCCCCCATAGTTTCCCACCACTGTCAGTCATTTCCTTATATCTCTGATGATTTAAGTGCCGTGTTTGAGAGCCCACAACCATTTTATGGGCCACCTGCACTGCTATCCACTGTTTACTCATGTCATGTCACTGCACTGTGAGACCCTTCCAGTTAAGAAGTCTGACTGGTTCAGTTCATGTCCTCTAACTTCTACAGAGTGGAGCTCAACCAATGTGTGCTGAACTAGCCCAGCACTATGAGGAATGCAAAAATGTAAAATGTAAGACATGGTCTGGCTTCTCTAAATTTACAGAATCTGCGTATCTTTTATAATTATTCTTATAAAAATATAAGCTATCCTAATTCTGGCAGGTTATATGAAGAGTAAATAAGTGCAAACTCAATTATTTGATATTGAGGAAAAATTGGCAAGGAAGCTGTGGAGAACAAACGTATATAATTTTCTGTAATTTTTGCAGTTTCAAACAAGTTCTTATGATGCAGTAAACACAATTCTCTTTTAATACCAAACTTCATGTAACAACCAGTCCTCTCAAGAAGCAGGGAGCACACCCAAAGTTAAAATAATTCAAGAAGGATTTTGTTTTTTTTTATTTGTTTGATTATTAAGAGATAGGGTCTCAATCTGTTGCCCGGGTTGGAGTGCAGTAACATAATCCTGGCACGCTGACCTTAACCTCCTGGCCTCAAGTGATCCTCCCATCTCAGCCTCCCAAGTAACTGGCGCTACTACAGGTGTGTGCCACCACACCTGGCTAATTTTTTAGCTTTCTGTAAAGACAAGGTCTCACTATGTTGCCTAGGCTGATCTCGAACTCCTAGGCTCAAGCAATCCTCCCACCTCGGCCTCCCAAAGTGCTGGGATTATAGGCATGAGCCACTGCCTCTGGCCTTCAAGGAAGATGTAATAAAAGGACTATTTGCAAAGA